ATTTTTTGCAATAGCTTGATTTTAATTTAATTCAAGATAATTTGCAAAAACACAATTTTTCAATATACACTTCTGAATTATTTTTTTAATTGTTTTAAGCAGATGTAATAAGTTAAAAAATTATCATAAAATATTTTCAAGATTACCACTATAATGTAGAGCAGTTTTAAAATAGTATATTAAAGTACAAGTTGCAGAAGGTATCTATCTATTTAAGCACAAATTTGAAATTCCGAAACGAGCCGCGTAGCGGTGAGTTGAGGAACAAATGAGTGCTTTAAGAACCTTCTGCAACAAGTGCTTCATGCTTTATACTATTTTTTTCTATTTTGCCACTTTATATTATATCATTATATAAATTAAAAAACGAAAATTTAATTTTTTTTTCTAGATAATTTTGCAATGGTTGGCGACATTTATGTGGAATAATTTTAGGCGGCTGTGAAAAATAAAACTAATTCTTTACATTTGAAAATGAATTATGAAGAAAGTCCGTCACTAAAATTAAATTAACGCCAACGACTTATTAAAGCACTCATTTGGGTGCTGGAACAGACTAAACGTAAAATAGAAAAAATATTTTACGTTTTTTTTTTTTTTTAAATTTAAATATTTTTATTTAAGAAAATTAAGTAAATTTTGATATAATATTTGAAAAAATCCCGGAAATTTATTTACAATCTCCAGTCAAAAATAAGACGCAGTTTAATTCTTTGAAGAGTGATTGTGAGTTATTAACTTAAAACCAGCTGTTTGCGCTATCTCTATAATTATCACTAGTCGTGTTGGTAATATTTGATCATGTTAACCACTTTTGTTCACGAGAGCTTTCAGGATACGTCTCTGTTGCGGTCATGGCGACCAATCGACGTAGAAACCCAGCTCATTCATTAGGCCACCGCAAAGCAGGACAGTCAACGTCCTAAATTGCATTAAACCTACAAATTGTTTCGTCAGAAATTCTGTTCTACGAGATAACGATATTATTACAAGCTGTACTAACAATTTTCAAGCGTAACAATGATCCACCCTTTAGCACTACACTGATACAAGAAACAACTAGCAACTGCAACTGCTTCATTCAGTTAACCCAAAAAGATAATTAACCAAAAGCTTATAAATGAGAAATGACTAGGAAGATCTCTTTTTTAACTTTCAAGCAGAGCTTAGTTTCATTTCGAGGTATTTCTTGCACAGAATTGGCTCAAGTTTACCCTCGAGATGAAATAAATAATTCGTGCGAAAGTTTTGCTCTGAAATGTGTGTCTTGAATATCATTTG